GGGAAGGGCGCACGTAATGTACATAAAAGTCAACTCCGATTATGCTGTGTTGGTTTTGTGCAACTCTCTTAAAACCTCCGTACTAGTTAGTCATGATCCGATCTGACACCCGAAACAGGCCCGGGGAAGGGGGGGGATTTGTACTGTAGCCTGTAGCTTATCCAGCTGGGAGGGAGTTTGGGGGAAAGAATACCCTCAGTCATCAACTACGACCTACGACTCTCGGCCCATAATGACGGAGATAAATAGTCGTCTTACCGTATTGCTCATCTAGCTTGCAAACTGCAAAGGAACCCTCAAGCCGCGGCACCCCCTTTTCCTAACATACTGCATTAGCAACATTAGCATCGGGTCAAGGTAATATGGATATCAGTGCCGCACCCCCCCCCCGACAAACCCGAAATTTAGCTAATCGAGGCTAGGGCCGGATCGAAGCATCAATGGTCCTACCTACCTATGTTGTCCTGGCGTGGATCAGGTACTGCAACTTCATGTCCAGTGAATGCTAGGGATATGAACAACGGTGGCTATAACAGACAAGACTAATTCACCCGCCTCACTCCCTACACACACACCAAAGTACTCCGGATCCCGCGCGCACGCAAAGTGCATCGCAAGCTACTCCGAGGTAGGAAAGAGCGAAGAAAAAGGGCATTGCCCGGGACTAGTGAGGGTCTCGAGCAGGGATGTGCAAATTGTGTGGTGTATAGTCTAAGGGAATAGAGATGAAAAAGTGCCAATGGGGGGCGTTTGCCACTTGACTGCAACGTCTCGGGGATTTCTCAATCCGATGCGAGGGTGCACTGGGTGCATTGATTGACGAAGTGAGCTTCTCCCCTCCCCATTCCCCTCCCCCTGCGGAACCATACCCAGCTGGGATATACTGACAGGGCACAGGGCATAGGGCACATGCCTCCCCGCCTACCGTACCTATGGGAGGAGAGGCGAGCTACCTACAGAGTCTATGCGTGTCGTTTGACCCCAGACCATTGGTACTGTACTTTCGCACACAGTGCTGAAGGTCACGACCCTCAATGCCCCGACAGGCCCTTCATGATTCAGGACGCAGCTGGCTCACTTGGAGACGCGCCGCTGGCTGGGCTGGCTGGCTGGCTGGATCGCAGCCCTCCCTGCACTAGCCACTGATCTTCTTTTCAATGCTACGGTGCGACGGAGACCACTGTGTGATGTGTGCTACCACCTGTAAGATGCTTTGCAGCTGACATCCATGTTCACCTGGAGACTAAGCTTTGACATCCTGGTTGCATATTGTCAAGGTGGTTCCGGGACGATCAAGACAAGTGAAAGGACGATAGGGGGAGGTGAGTGACTGACTGCTCCAATGGAATCTGCGAAGGAGCAGTAGTACTTATCTGTAGCCAAGTCGCTTGTCTGCTTAGAGAAGACACTGTGGTTAGCCCTTGTGTGATATATCGAGTGCATACATGAGTTGCGCCCTGATATGAATTTTCACCAAGTTGCCCATTTTATCTGTTGGGATGATCAGCGGGCTCCCCAATAAATGTGGAGGGCTCCAACCCAATACTTATATTCGTGTATGGGGGGATTGTCCTTTGCTGCATCAGAGCTCAGCTATGAGAAACTCACCTAATTTACCTGCGCCAGCCGGAGTACATCTGAAGGAGGCATCCGTATATAACTTACAGGTAGTTACACCTACGGTCTATGTTGACGTTGACACCATCCATGCACGGCCCAACAGGGCAACAGGTGAAATGTGTCTAGGAAGATCCAGCCATCCTGCATGCGCACACGAAACTGACAGGTCGAGGATGCTCAGGGGAAAGTCCCAATCAGACAGGGCCACTCAGGCAGTGAGAAAGCTGCTCGAGCCGAATCTGTTGTGCCTTCTCGCTAGGGAATGTTGTATCACACCCATGCTCCCCACAAATTTGCCATAGTGACTACTCTAGTAATAGCTACCGACTGCCGGCATCGATGGCACAGTACTCCCGTACTTTGTGTATCCCAGCAAATTGTCTGCTCGGCGGGCTGGACTACCCAAGTAAGCGCATACACCAGCCCCAAAAGGCAACTATGTGCACCGACAGATATACTATATTCGGCTGCACATATAAGGGGGGGGGGAAGAAAGATGAGGAGGCGTGCGGCGACAAGGCGATTGAGCCCGGTCGCGACTTAAGGTCCGCAATATAGGGATGACTTTCGACCGCGCTTATTCATGGAGTAGATATTATCGGGGACGGCAGTCAAAGAGGATGATGCCGTACTGCCGTATTACCGATCGAAGCCGTGATCAACTGGTGGTATGCCATCTATCTTGGTCTAAGCAGAATGGGGTGATGGAGGTGGAGGTGGAGGTGGAGGTGGTAGTGATGCTGAATGGAGGAAGAAGAAGAGGAGGAGGAGGAGGGGGGAGAAGAGAAATCTGGATTGGTGGATGGAGCCGGGTCTCGACCTTCACCGCGGCGTGGGCCCGTGACAGCAACACTTGGTCCGTGTGTTCCGTCCCGGCCTGTGTCTGTCTTTCTGTCTGTCTGTCTCTTTCACACACACACACACACATATACACTCTCACTCTCGATCTCCCTCTCTCCCTCTTGCTGACCGACCCCCTCCCCTTGCTGTCGGTTTCCCCCCTCCCTACCTCGTTCCAATCTATCTTAGTGCATTGGATTCGATTGATTCCCAGGCGGGACTGATGATAACAATTACTATAAGATTGTTCTTCGAACAACACAGTTGATTTCCATGTCATGAATGACCCGAGTTGCTGGGAACTCGATATTTTTTTTTTTGGGGGCGGTCGGGTCGCCGGGATGCAACACCACCAATCCCCTCTTGTTTATTTGTTTTCGCCTCATGAATTTGTTTTTTCCCCCTTCTAGTTTGAACGGAGTATCCCATAGAGATCGACCGTCCCTACATGGGTATCTAGTCTTGCCTCCAGTGCTACACACTGTGAATGATTGTCCAGCACCAGTATGGAGTAAGTACTCCATGCTCGTATCAGTTCGTAACTCAAAAATGGTTCACGGAATGGTAGAAATCCTTCCGGTTGTATCCTACCAATACCCCAAGCGGTGGTTGATTATCAGTATGCTCGCTCGGGAGAAGGACCAGAATGGTGTCTGATTCCCTCAATAAAGGGTGACCTGAATATTCACTCTGGTGACAGTGTCAGACGGGCGATTAAACACAGATGACCGTTGCTCTGAAGGTCTCGATGGTGAATGAATGGCGAGGGTGGATAGGAGGACAGATTTAGGCAATATTAACCCAGGTCAATCAAAATAAATTAAGCTCATTTCGAATCGATTATTTCTCGCTCCCTGTGTGCTGCGAGTGCCTGGAGGTGCTCTGCTCCTTCCTTCCATAGGGGGAGTCAATCCGAAAATGTTTGATCCATGCATGCATACGACCGGCGTTGGTCCATATACAGCTCACTCATCCAGGCAGTTGGCCTCCCCGGGAATGACTCGGTAGCGGTAGCAGTAGCAGTGCTTGGATGGAGTTACCTTTCAAACTCTGTGGATTAATCACTGATCCATTGCCTCTCATCCTCATGATCGGACTACAGTAAGATCACCACCCAACCTTTCCCCCTTAAGATACAAACGGCGAAGAAGAAAGGGCCAGGGCGCGCGCCATCCTAGGTGGGACCCAAATTAGGAGCCAACGACGACGCTCAGAGGAGGGGGTAGGCCCTTCAGCCAGGGCCTGGAATAGTAATCCATCCATCCTCCAGCGCATTTCCGCTTCTGCTACCCCTGCTGGAGGCCTCGAACACGCGGGTGGCGCGTTATTGGTTCAAAGGAGCTAGGGAGGCGTGCCAGCTCTTTTTTTTGTTCCCTGCTTAAGGGGGGGGGTCAGTTTTGCGCTGCCGACGAGGCCGAGGCTCCCATCGACTTCAAAGCGCCTATTGCCCAATCCAGCAATGATAGCTCGGGGCCCCGGTCAGATGTTCTCACACGGTCGGAAGTACGGCCTCGACATAGTTTCTCCTTCTCTTGCTGTCTCTGTCTCTCTCACTCCCTCTCTCTCTCTCTCTCTCTCTCTCTCTGTGTGTGTAAATATGTATATGTGTGTGGGTGTGTAGGTGTTTAGGTGTATAATTACTTCAAATTTCATCTTGCGGGGTGGAAAGGGGGGCTCCCCAACTTAGAAGTAATGGCGGAGGCAAGAGGCGCGACTCTTAAGGAACTTCCCCCAGTATTTATGTACCCGCCGCGGTATCAGTCAAGGTACGGAGTAGAAGAAGTCAACAAGTCAACAAAACAACTAAGATAAACTTAGTTTCTTTGTCTGTCCCGTGATGTTTCAAGAACAATTTGAATTTTTGATCATTCTCCCTCTCAGTGGTAATAATAAATATCCCCCCAAAACTTACCAGATCCCACTGATCAAAACGAGGCTTGAAAATGATTGATAACTCCATTGCCTATCAAAATCAATTTGGCACCATAACTAGAGAGGAGGAATTAAATCTGATAATAATAATAATAACAACAATAATAATAATAACAATACTGGAAGACCCAAAAGACACTTAACATAATATAGTCAGACCAGATTCATTTGATCAGACCAGGCAATCGTAGTCTCTAAAAAAGTCCTCCTTCTGCAGAGGTACTTTTTTAGTTTCCTCAATAGGTTTTCCTCTCGTTCCTTTCTTTCCCTTCTCCTGCTCCCTTTGGGGATGGTTTTTTCTCTGCTCGTCCCCTCACCCTCACCACCTCTCTCTCTCTCTCCCACTCTCTCTATCTCTCCTTCTTTCCCTACTTCTCCTCCTTTCATTCCCTTCTTTCTCCCCCAACCTTCCGAACCAAGTTGTCTTCATCCTCTCTCTCTGCCTCACGTTCTTCTCCCCGAGCGGGATAACCCGCTAACTCCAACTCATTCAAGATGAAGGCATAATCACCACGACCATTAACCATTAGTCGACGACTATCCTTTTTCTACCTCTTCCTCAAGGGATACAACTGGGACCGATAGCTAGAATTCCTCCACCTTCTCCAGCACACCTCCTTTTCTACGCCATATCCTCGCGCTTGAATGCATGGTCGACCACCTCTTGGATCACGTTTAACCTTTTTTTTTGCCTTTTATCCCCCTCGTTACCTTCGCCCTTCCACTCCCCGACTCTCCTCCCCCCCTTGACATGAACCCATTGATCCAGTCGACGAGAGAGAGCTCGTCCGACCGCCTACCACAACAAATCCCCGCCTGGACCCCATCATGGCCCCTCAATCCATCGACACTAATGCTGAGGCAATCTCCCTCTGGAAGAAGCGGTTCGACAAGCGACATCCATCAACGTGAGTCTTTTCTGAAGTTCTCTTACTCAGTTCTTGTTCCTTCAATCTTCCAATTGCCATTTGCTAGCCGAATCTTCACCTGCATTCGTTTGTTTCCCTTCCTTATTTTCTCCCTAATTGTCTAGACCGCTCGTGGATCCCCCCCCCTCCCCAACTTTGTTTTTCTTTGTCTCGGGTGATCTACAACCGTCTCCATACCCCCTTATCAATGAGACTGCCCGTGCTTTCTCTCCATTGCGGAGCACAGCGATCACAACCAACCCCGAACTTCAATTCCTTAGATTGATTTCATTCCAAATTAGAAACCCCGTGATTGCCATCCTTGATATCGAATACAACGAGCTCGTCTTGTCTTGGAAGAAGCTCCAGGAGACTCTCACCCCGTCGGATCTGGTCCAGTTCCAGGAACGCGCCCAGGGACCTGAGGATGTCTTGAGTCTGGTGAGCAGCATCGAGCCGGTCTGGACGTCTAGCGCAAGGCAGCGAGTGGTCCGTGACCATTGCACCGAGCTGAGATCCACCCTTCACGCCCACAGCATCCTTTTGAGTGCCCTGCCGAAAAATGAAGCATACATGTCTCTCTTCTACAGTGTCCTTCAGTCAACGCTCAAGGTAACGCATCTCTACAGTGCAGTCGTTGCATTCCTTGGGTTGACTGAATTTCTCCTAGGCATCTGCACACTATCCAAGGATCATGGAAGGATACATCAAATCACTCGTCATGATCAACCGGTCCTCTTGCCTGGCCATCACAGCAGATCTATCGTCCTGCTCAAAAGAAACAATTCACTCGATCGCGCATTTCTACACACTGTTCTTCTTCTTCCTGGGCGAGTTCATGGACTGGTTTGTGCGCCAAACCAAATGTCGACTGCTGAAGAGTCCCAACCACAACGTGCATCACACATTCCGAGATCTTGTCGGCCATCTGCGGCACAGCGCCAAAGTAATAATCGGGGGAATTGCTGATATGATGGATGTCGATGAGGACGACAATGATACCGAGGATATTGCCGACACAACCTGCAACAGGGAGTTATGTCTGTTCGAACAAGCCCGGTTGGATCAGATTGGCTTACAGCGGAGGGATCGTCGCCACAAAGCAGAGAACGCTTTCATTCGTCATCTGGTCTGGGAAATTGCGCAGGATGCGGTCAAGCGCGCAAGGCTCTTGCGGGAGAGAGATGCCTTACTTGCGCACTTGCTCGATACCGTGGGCCACCAGATCCGCCCGGTGAGCCAGCAAAATACTGGCATTGCTTGCTTAACGACAACAGCTTCTAGGGACATAGGTAGGGTAACGAAGGTATACATGAAGAATCAAACAGCTTGGTATGCTGACCATATCACCTTGCAAGACATGGATAGATTCACATCGAGCGAAGGAGGCCAGAAGCACAAGTATACGCGTGCGGAGCTGCAGCTGGCTTCCAGTCACCTCGAGAACTTCTTCGACGCAGATGATCAGACGCCTGAGCTGGACCCTGATGTGGAGGTGATCGCAGAAGAGAATGTCATGACATCTTTGCAACAGTGGGCGACCGATGCATATTCCCAGGTGCTTGCCGTGGGAGGATCGCCCACCACGGCTTTCCCCAGCCCCGTCCTGCTCATTTCGACGTGCTACGCCAGCCTGGCACGAAAGGCCCGCTTGCCAGTCATCTCTCACTTCTGTACCCGGTCCACCAACGGCACCGACGAGTTGACGTACGAGCAACAGTTGATTGCCCTGGCCTACAGCTTGATCCGGCAATTGATAGAATACTTGCCTCCAGTGATCATCAGCCATTCGGGATGTAACCTGAGTGCAGAACGGTTCAAGCCGTTGAATGGCACATTGACTTCGTGGAAAGAAGTGCTCTCCCTGATCGACATACTCCTCTATTATGCCCCACCCCTGATGGTGTGCGTGATCCATGGTCTGGACGCCATCCAAGATGCGTCCACTGACGAGCACATACGCTCCCTGGTCCGCATCCTTTTGACACACACGAGACACCAGACCGCCACCATGGAAGGGGGCCTTGAAACGCAGAGCGTTCTGCTCAAGATACTATTCACTGTCGCTGGCCGACCGAGCTCGCTGGTGGAGACGCTGTCAGAGAGCCAGCTGATCCTGCGCGAGTCGAACCAAACGGAGGAGCTGGCGACGACTGACTCTGCATTAAGCCCCGATGTTGGGGTCGTCATGATGAATGCATAATACCAAAAGCACATGACCACAACGAAGCGATACTCCCCTTATCTTTCATCTGTCAGGCTGTTCTCTTTGTGGCGAAAATCCAGGACATATAGAATTGTGCGCAGGCTGGTATTTTTTGAATATAACCTTATCGGCAAGAGACCATTGCAGGATCTCAACCTTTCGATTTTACTCTTTTCCATTTTCTCCAGCCACTCTACTTGATTACCTTTCTGCCTTTGTCTTTGAGATGTTAGCCTTATGGCGAAGGAGGTATCACTGATTCTGGTCATTGTCGTGTTTTCCTCTCTACGCAGATGTTCACCCAATGGTTGGTATATGTCAGGTTTGAGGCGCAGCTGGCTTTTTACTGGTGGATGTGGGCAAAGGTCTTGTCGGAATTCGAAGGTGTTTGGAGCCTGATTTCTTTGTATAGTTGTAATACACGATTGTCAACTGGGGAAGGGCCAATACCCCGAAGAATGCATAACTACCTCTGGTGGTGACGTTCCAAGTTGTTGTTGAAATCTGTCTCGGGATTAGGTTTCCGCCATCCACGTGGGAAAGTCAGACAGACCAGCCAGCATACATAACGATCGTCAGTGCAATCCCGGGGATTCGTATCCATACAGTCTATTCATTCTGCTTGGTTTTCGGAAGTCATCGAAGGCAACGTTGGATGGGGTCTGTTGTTCTGGGCGTCGTTCGGGATTTCAGCTCCGCCTAAAGATACAAATACGGGTGTTCTGTTCATTGCTGCCTCGAATTCTTCTCATCACCTCCCATCTCTTACCATTTAACATCTCAGCCTACATAACCATCTCCAAAACAGACAAGAAGTACAGCACCAGCACCAGCAACCATGGGCCTCACCAACCCCGTCACCCAGACCCCCACCTCGTCGCAGCCCTTCAACCGACTCATCTCCCTAGACGCCCCTGCCCCATCCCTGGCGGACTTCGAGCGCCTCTGCTCCCAAACCACGGACGGCACCCTCTACCCGCACGCCAGGACCATCACCCAAAACATCCCCATCTACAGCACGCGCACGCTCAGCCTGACCGACGCCGGCGCCCTGGCCGCCGTGCAAAACGAATGGTATCACATCCTCTCGGCGGGGCCGGGGATCTTCGTCCTGCAACACTTCTACGACCAGCACGACCAAGCGACCCTCACCGCCACGACCGCCGCCTTCACGCGCATCATCGCCCACGAAGCATCCGCCGGCGTCAAGGGCGACCACTTCTCGACGGGCCACAACGCCCGCATCTGGAACAGCTTCAGCAAGCACGCCTTCGCCGACCCCGCCTCCTTCGTGTCGTACTACTCCAACCCGTGGCTCCGCGCCGTCAGCGAAACCTGGCTCGGGCCGGGGTACCGCCTCACCGCGCAGGTCAACATCGTCCGCCCCGGGGGGCCCGCCCAGGCCCCGCACCGTGACTACCACCTCGGCTTCCAGGACGACCGCACCTGCGCCCTGTTTCCCAGGGGAATGCACGCCGCCAGCGCCTGCCTCACGCTGCAGGGCGCCGTCGCCCACTCCGACATGCCGGAGCGCAGCGGGCCCACGCGCTTCCTGCCGTTCAGCCAGCGCTTCGAGCCCGGGTATCTGGCCTGGCGGCGCGAGGAGTTTCGGGCGTTCTTTGAAAGGCGGTATGTGGCGCTGCCGCTGCGGGAGGGGGACGCGGTGTTCTTCAACCCGGCGGTGATGCATGCCGCCGGCGAGAATCGTTTGGCGGCCGAGAGTGGGTTTGAGAGACGGGCGAATTTGTTGCAGATTGGGGCGGCGGTCGGGAAGACTATGGAGAGCGTGGATGTTGTGGCTGTTGTGGAGGCGGTGTGGGAGGAGGTTAGGAGGCGGTTTGATGCTGAGGATCATGCTGAGGCTGGGAAGAAGGAGGGGGAGGGGGAGGAGCTGGAGGCGCACTGGGAGGCGTTCGTCCGGGCGCTTGGGGAAGGGTACCCGTTCCCTACGAACCTGGATCGTCGGCCGCCAGCGCCGAATGGCATGGCGCCGGAGAGTGAGCAGGACTTGATCAGGAGGGGGCTGTTGGATGGCTGGGGCAAGGAGGAAATGGTCGCCCGGTTGCGCCAGTTGCATGAGGACGAGAAGGGTCATCAGTCTCTCTAACTGTATTGTACTGTACGGTACATGTTCTGTCATAGTGGAAGTGACCGTGGCCAAGTAGGAATCATCTACACTACACACTGACAGGTCCATAAGTAAAAGTAGATATTACTCTTGGTGTTGGTCTAGCTCATTAGAGACAATCATCACTTCGTGAATATTCCAGCCATGTTACTCCGCCCACAAGGGTATACCAGAACGCTACGCCAATGCCAACCAATGCAGTCAGTCGTTAAGTCATATCACCCCTCGTTCCTCGACCCAAATCTATCCTCGCGTTAGTCCCAGTTGTGCACGGCACCTCACCAGAAACGACTTACCTCCATCTTCCCAAGCTCACTTCCCTCCCGTCGTGCCATCGCACGGGCTGAGCTCATCAGCAGATCCAAATCCTCCTGGTCCACCATCGTAATCATATCACCATCGTCTTGCATGCGGATCTTGAGCAACGTCCGGAACCCGAATTTGTCCCGGATCCGCCGCTCAAACTCGGCGAAGTCGATCACCGGCTCAATCATGATATACCGCGTATCCTCGTGGGCATGCGTCTTGACCCGGTACTTGCGCACCTCGGGCCGCCGGGCTCGCGAGGTCCCGCGCTGGGATTGTCGCTGCGGCGATCGTCCGTCGACCAGGTCAAAGTCGCCCTCCGCCGACCCCGACCCACTGACATACTCTTCTTCCTCGTCGATATATCGTTCCCGTTGCCGAGGCCAGCCGGTCCCCACGGGCATGGACCGCGTGCCTGAGTAGCCCCCCTCCGAATACCCACCCGAGGTCGATGCAGATCCCGTGTCACTGACCCCTCGTCGATGGCCACGCACTTCCCGACCGCGGGACGACTGTTCCTCCCGAGGGCCGGGGCGAGCCGAAGCACCTACTGCCGCTCTCCGGGGCTCGGAGGCCGTGCGAGTCGTTCCGATTCGCGGCTTCTCGCTTAGGACGGTCTCGTGTCCGGTGCCCGGGTTCAGGTCGAGCCGCGGGGGCGGCGCAGCGCGCATGGACCCCGGTCGACCGGTGGTCCCAAGACTTCCTGTGGAGCTGTTGGTACTCGCCTTGTCTGCGTCCGGCGGGGGAGTAGGAGGGAAGAGATTACGGTTCAGGGGCGGTTCAGAGTGCTGACGGCTCCGGCTGGGCAGGTTCTTGTGCACCAGATGTGAGGTGGCGAACGGAAGGTGCTCTGGATGACGGTGATCCAAAACCGACTGAGCTCGGGGGATTTCCAGATTCAGCGGGCCGGACGGAACGCCGTTACGCTCCCCTGTCGCGGCAATCAGCCGGGCCTTACCCAGATAGTCTTTCGACTTCAGATTCTTGACCTTGGCCTCGTTGGGCCGGTAGACCACCCCTACCGGAATGGAGAAAACTGTATAGCCCTGTTTGCCATTAGAATGGAAGTTCTGCCGCTCCGGTATGAGACGTACCTGTGCTCGTTCCTTGATTGCATCATTGATGACATCGTGGTCCAACGTCACCTTCTCTTTGGACGCATAGTCGAGATCCTGGAGGCCTGGGCCCATCTGCTGCAGATAGATATAGCACAGACCGCGGTTGAACAGCACTTCGCACGAGTACAGGCGGAACTTGAGACCCAGCTGCTCGTAGTCAATGGAGGTGTTACCTCGAAGGTACAACAGGGTGTCATTGAAATTGGCCAATGCTTCCTCAAAGTCACCCAGCAGGAAGTTGGACACTCCTTCTTGAAAGTATGCGATGGCCAGATATTGATCTAGCCCAATTGCTCGTTGGTAGCACTCGACCTGGATTGCCGTCAGTATAAGGGCCTGTCGTGGACGAAGGATAGTCTTACTGCTCGGTCGTGCTCTCCCAAGGTGGCATATATGACTCCACAGTTGAAAAGGATCTTCGATGTTTCGGCGATGGCGCTGAAGACCTGAAGGGCCTCATCGTATTCTTGGTTGTCGTAGTGGTCCAGGGCTTGCACCCAGGTCTCAATCTCCTGAGTAATGTGAGCCCTACTCAGCTTGCCCTTGTAGTAGGGGTGAAGCAAACCTACCTGCTTGATGGACATGTCTGACTCGAGCCCGTTGCACCAACGATAGACGATATCAGGTGCCGCAGTCGCCCTGGTACTGACCTCAAAACACGACGCAGACGGGGCTGCCCGGTCGAGAACCCCACGTCGTAGTATATATGTCCCCGACTTGTGATTGATCGGACCAGCACGCTGACGACAGAGTTCCCGACCACGCCGAGAACAGGGATGGAATCACACGGTGGAACCGGGACGGAGGAGACTGAGCGCAGACGGCGAGCGAGCAATAGACCATGCGCAATGGGTCTCTTAGCGGGAGAGATAGATAACTCAAGAGATAGATAGATCGGATATATAATTAGATCACGGACGCCGCGACCCAGCCGCTAGCGATGACCGTCTAGAGACCAGCCAAGACAAAGGCAAGGAAGACCAGACTGGCTGGGGCGGGATACGTAGGGGATGAGAAGGTTGGGAGAGTAAAGTTTGTTTCGAGGGTGATGGGATTTGATTTGCTTTGAATTTCCGCGTGGTTAGAGCTTGGACTGGACGACAAACACGTTTTCTCCTTCAGGTTGAGAGATGATGTTGATGGCGGTGATGATGTTGATGGCCGACGACGACGGACAAATAACAGAAATGGAAGTGGTTAGCAGGGACGGAGTACCGATGCAGAAGGGAGAAAATAGACCGAAGGAAAGAAGATCAAGGCAAGACTGGGATTAGCGTGCAGAGAATAGTAAATGAAGGAGAGGAAGGGGAAGGGGAAGGGGGAAATGCAGCAAGCAAGCAGCCTGTCAGCCAGGAACTACTCAGGATGGTGCAGTGCAATGCAGTTTTGGGATGGAAGAGGAGAAGGAAAAGATGGACAGGGAAGAGAGAAAGAGGGGAAAAAGAATAAAAATAGGTGGGAATTGAGTAAAAAAAGGTCTGATCCTGGTCACATCCCAGCAGCATTGGTTCTTCCAGCCAGGGATTGGATGCTGCAGGGGGTGACGCTTTTCATCACATCGCAGCAGAAAAGTCGATCCATCCGAGCCCGATTGATTGGATTTGTTGTGCCTTCATATCAGGAGATTTCCAAGGAGATTCCAGTTAACTGCCATGAACTGCCCCATTCCCGGTGGGCAAAGCCATGCGGGGCTGCAGAATTGTCACAAATACAATCAATCAATCAATCAATCAATCAATGGGTTTACCCCATACCATTGTTACCATGCCATCACCATCACCATCACACAAACACTCGGATATTCAGATAGACAGGCAGGCAGACAAACATCTGATGCTTCTTCTTGTGAAGTTCTTGCCCTTGGCTGAGATGAATGGAGGATTATACTTTGCGTGCATTGGGAAATTTCCCCGCCACGGCGCTTGCGGTCGAACGAATTGACCATTCCTGCCTCCAACACTCCAACTTCTTGTTAGATCGACCCACTCTGGAATACGGGCCTCATTGCGCACCCTATCGTTCTCTCCCTTTCCCTTCCCTGTCGGACCGTTGTACTATGAGCCCTTAGTACTAGGTATCGATCTATCTTTAGTGTTCTTGCCATGCCTTGCCCACGACTAGTCGGTGTGTCGTGCAGGTGCTCCTGCATGGCTGCCAGTCACCTGAGTCTGGGGTTGTTGTCGGTGTCTTTTTCTTCTTCCTGCCTCCCAACAATACTTGAGTCGTCCGTCATTCATGTGGCTCGTAATTATCAAGCTATCTCTGATAGTAGTAGTGGTCATACTGGTCCATCCAACTGCCCATGCACAAGCAATTCCACGGTGACCCCACCCCCTCTTCTCTGTGCTATACATAGAACGGCTTATGCCCTCTGATGTAGTCAAGTCACACCAGATATCCTGCCAAACCCAATCCCGCCATTATCCATTATCAGATCCCTCTATACCATTCCTTGGGAGACCTGCTCCTGCCGCTCCTGCCAAACATTCTTGCCGGAGCAGGAACACACCATCTTGTCGTTATCCCACACCCCCGCGCTACGAGCGATGACCCCAACCAATGTGTTCGAGTCCTCCCGGTCAAAGGGGCCCTCGGCATTCTTTGACACCACCATACTGCGGCCAATCATCTCCCAGATCGCGACCGGTCGGTCCAAAAAGACATTGCCGCGTCCCTTTTCGTCGACCTCCACGGACCCAAAGACCCCACGTGGTTCCTTAGCGGGCTCCGGCGAGCCCAATACCTTGGCCTTGACGGCCTCCCAAATGCCTCCCGTCGACGCCGCTCCTTGCGAGATATCGCCCGCTTCGCGCACGGTCGCCACGTACTTGCCCGGAGCGAGGCCATTGATCGTCAGATCCACCAGGGTCATAGTGGACGACACCTGAACCATCCGTGCGAGACCGCGGATCTTGTTCGAGACGGCAGTGGAATGTGTTTCGAGGATGCACACCGCGGAACCTGGAGACAAAAAAAAAGATCACACCACCGAAGTTAGCATAATCTCAATCATCCCGACTTGGCACATCACACACGAAAAGGGGGCAGAGCACGTACTGTTAGAGGTGCCACTTCCTCGCAGGATCGCATCACGACCCGTAGCTTGGATGGCAGTGACAATGGAGCTGGGCGGCGCGGTGCCCTCAATGAAGACCAGTTGATCCTTCAGGCTGGCCTCAACCTTGCTGATCCCTAACATAGGTCCTGGTTAAAGCTGAGTGGGCAACGGGGAGGGGGAATTGGCTGTCATACCGTCCAACTTCTGGAGCGACGCGGAGACATCTTTAACGCAACCCTCGCAGGTCATTGGGACCGCGAAGGTGGTCTGGAACGATTAGAACTGCGTGACGCATTGCGTAGAAAACAGCACCACCCACCTGGAAAGGTTCGATAGTCATCTCGTCTAGTAGAGCCCGCAGATCTCCAGTCCGTAATGTAGGAGCAACCAGAATCACAGAATGATCAGGTACTGTACGGCGTACCCCTCCCTCCCTCGTCTTCTTGAATGCGGGCCGAGGCGGGGAGCGGCTTTGAAATCAACCTCCCGATCAGGCTTAGTTCCTTCTCAGACCCGCCCCGTCAACCCATAGCGTCATCCGGCCAATCATCCGGGTGCCCTGTCGTTCATCTTCATGGTCGAGGTTGCGATAGCAGCTGAGCTCCAACAGCTTCACCTCTGTGCCTCAAATCACCAAACAACAACATCACAATTGCCTATGTCATCCGACCAATAGCCTGCACACCTAGACCATGTCCTCGAAATCGCGCTGGGCCAACGACGATGACCCAGAGACGGAGGCCATCCTCGCCCAACGCAAACGCGAAAAGGAAGAGAAACGACGGGCGAAAGCCGAGAAACAACGTCAGCTAGAAGAGCAGCAGCAACAGCAGCAAGAGGCCAAACTCCAGGCTCAATTGCAAGATTACAATTCCACACAGGCCGACGCGCCTCCACCCTCCAAGCGTCGCCGCCTCTCCAACGACCACGACCAAGCCCGACAATCCCCGCAACCATCCAAACCCAACATCACCGCCGAAGGGAACAACCTCCTCACACTCCCGACCTCCGAATGGGGCCCCTGTCGCCATGTCGACAACTTCGAGCGCCTCAACCACATCGAAGAAGGCAGCTACGGCTTCGTCAGCCGCGCCAAGGACATCACGACCGGCGAGATCGTGGCGCTCAAGAAGCTCAAGCTGGAGCCCACCTCGCCGGAGGGGTTCCCGGTGACGGGGCTCCGAGAGATCCAGACCTTATTCGAAGCGCGACATCAGAACATCATTGAACTACGGGAGGTAGTAATGGGGACCAAGATGGATGAGTACGTTTTCACTTGTACACAACAACGCCATGGAAATCCCCCCCCCCCCCTCTCCCCAAATGATATTCCACAAATCCCCTCAAAGTGAACACGAGACCTCTCCATACTAACAACGATCACCCAACACACCAGAGTCTACCTCGTAATGCCCTTCCTGGAACACGACCTCAAGACCCTCCTGGACGACATGCGCGAGCCCTTCCTCCCGTCCGAGACCAAAACCCTCCTCCTCCAAATCATCTCCGGGCTCGACTTCCTCCACGCGCAGTGGATCATGCACCGCGACCTCAAGACCTCGAACCTCCTGATGAACAACCGCGGCGAGATCAAGATCGCCGACTTCGGCATGGCCCGCTACTACGGCGACCCGCCGCCGCCCAAGCTGACCCAGCTGGTCGTCACCCTCTGGTACCGCGCCCCGGAGCTGCTCCTGGGCGCCGACAAGTACGGCCCGGAGATCGACCTGTGGAGCATCGGGTGTATCTTTGGGGAGCTGCTGGGCAAGGAGCCCCTGCTGCAGGGCAAGAATGAGGTCGATCAGGTGTCCAAGGTATGCGCCCTCATCCGCCCTCATCCGCCCTCTCTCGCCCCCATGAATTACACCCCTCCAGTGAAAACAGTTTAAAAGTTGACGAAAACGACCAATAGATCTTCGCCCTAACCGGCCCACCAACGACCCAAACGTGGCCGGAATTCCGATCCCTTCCCAACGCCAAATCCCTTCGCCTCCCATCCTCTGCCTCAGCCCCGGGCAGTGGTGCTGCCAACCCGCCGCTCCTACCGCGCGGCAAGTTCCCGTACCTAACCAACGAGGGCCTGCGGCTGCTGTCGTCGCTCCTGGCGCTGAACCCCAATGCGCGCCCGTCGGCCAAGCAGTGTCTGGCCCATCCGTACTTCCGCGAAGACCCCCGGCCCAAGCCCAAGGAGATGTTCCCTACCTTCCCCTCCAAGGCGGGCCAGGAGAAACGGAGACGACGGGAGACCCCAGAGGCGCCGAAGCGCGGCCAGGAAGCCCCCAAGTTGGATTTCGCGAGCGTGTTTGGTGGTGCGCAGGCGGGTGCCGATGGCCCGGAGGCCGGGGCGGGGTTTACCTTGCGCCTGGGGTAGTGCTCCCTTGGCTGAGAAGGATGTACTTTTACAGTTGGACTATATAGAGAGTTACGCCTCGTGGGTGTGACACATTTGATAGCCCGGTTACGAATTACAACACCGTTATCTGGAAGGATTCCCAGGTAGCGACCCGGAGACATAATGCTTGGGTTTAAGGCATAAAAGTTGTGGAACAAACCCAAGGGAGCGAAGAGAAAGACCGTTTCAGAAAACTCGCTCCCTGGTTCATGAGCCTCGAACATTGGAGAGTCAATTGAGCGATGTATGTAAAAATATGGTAGAGTCGCCTGGTTCGCCAATATAGAACTGGCAATGGTAATTAAGAATTAAGGTCTTCGAGATGAAAAATAATACCTCGCAGGATAGCCGGAGACATACTCATCAGTGGAGTCACTGGCATCGCGCTCGGCGCGGGCAGAACGTGGACCCTGTAATTGTATGGCGGATCTCGGGCCCACGATCTCGGGGATCCCTTGAGTCCTGGTCGACGAATGGCGATCAAGTCCAGGTCCACTATATAAGCAGCCGTCACCAGTGAAGCTTCTTTCGGATTTGAGTGCATTATTGTCACGGTCGGGGCGGATATCGGGTGACTTGTCGACAAGGAAGTACTCATCTCTGAGGGCGAGAAGTGACGCCAAATCGTCGGTATCAATGGTGGACCACGGCTCCTCTAACACCTGGTCCATTTCTGACATAAACCGTTGCTCTTCGTTCTGGGCAAATCTCCCCATGCTCTCTTCCATCAGCTGGCCAACTCCTGTTTGTTCATTCACAACAGTGATGGACGCAGTGGCGGCCTCATGACCTACATGTGCCGACCCGTCAGGATCCGCTGAGCGGTTATTTGCCACGACTGTCTGCGGCATCACATTCATCGTGTTCTCAGGGAACGGCGAACCTGGTGTGTTGGCTTCAGTCTCGCAAGGCTCACTGGCCCTTGTTGGTGTCTCCTCAGATTGGTCAAATCCACGGAACGGCGATTCGCTCTCCTGATCCACCTCGGGAGCATGGCTGTCTCTATTTCCCAATCGGTCGCACAATTTCAAGGACTCCACGGCAAAGTCGGCGTCTATTATCTGAGGCGTCTCAGACGCACGATTAGTCTTGCACACGCGAGTCATGGCTGGCTTGTAACTGTTGATCGCATTGATCGACATCCGCAGCGCACTCGATTTGCGCGAGTTGGTGGGGGCTGAGCTTGAGGCAGTGTGAATATTGGGACTCACGCGCGTAAAAGACTGCGACTGTGAGTCAGGGTCATGATTCGATGAAGATCCCGGTGCAGCAAGATAGTGACTGCTGCGTTCCATTTCGCTGTCCCTTGGGCTGGGTTCGTCAGAATCGTTGGGCCTGACTGACACGGTAGTCGTGGCGGTGCGAGGCTCCTGACCCGTCACAGCCTCATCGGACTCATTCACAGCTTCTGCTGCAGTATGGTTTCCCTGAAACGCTGTGGTTTGCAACCTCGCGGTATGTCCATGTTGTGATTCCGTCGAATTGACCTCGAAGCTAGGAACAGCGAGAACCGCCTCGGAGCGACAGTGACGCACAGTCGAACCATTTAAAAAAGTACCGTCTGCTTCACATTCGACATGAATCGGTAGTTTCTGCAGATACTTGCTGATGTCGCCATCCGGTTCCGAAGGATATTTGCAGCTGATGCGTTGGAGGTCGGCTCCGAAGTCAACATCTTCGGCAGTGCTAGCCTCGGACACCGTGGAGGAGTAGAGCGTTCCCTGCTGATCCAGCGAGTCTTTTGCCGAGTCCGCCGAGGACCAGGCGCTGGGGTTGTCGGTGCGAACAGGTGGAGGGCCACTGGATCGCCGACGTATTCCCGACCTCAGCGCAAGTAGTCCTAGATGGGCCCTTCGAAGAGATCTTCTGGGCAGGTCCTGTATCCAACGACTTGTCCTTGGCGAGGCTGTCTGCTGGGAGAGATCATAGTCGTCATTGAGCCATGGCGAGGCGATAACATCAGGGTTGTGCCGCGGATCTCGCGGATTGAAGACTGGGTAGTGAATGCTTTCCTCACATGCTGGCGAGGGAGCGGTAAGCCGTCGTATGGCAGCCCTAAACAATTAGTACTCCTCTTGATATTGTCGAGGCAGAGGCATACCTGTTCCTGCGGCTGACGGGGTAGCAGAGGGTAAAAGAGAACGATGACGCCGGGCGACGTCTGTTGTTTCCAAATGCCGGGTCTGGTGCGTCCATTGCTCCCTCAATTGATGTCTTTCCAAGAAGAACCCCTAAGAGAAGTTGGAACTAGACCCAGCCGTGTCTTACCAAGCCGTGGCAGGAAGTCCGATGCTTGTCATCGATTGTAAAGACGAGGCCCGGGGGTTTCTTGCATGGGATCTACTCGAAGGGGGAGGCAGATTAAGACGGGGACCAGGCAGGCTGAAGGAAGCCATAACAAACCCGCCACGCTGTCCAACAGGCGCATTTGCAATGTCGGACAGAGGCAGGTGTTGGGTGGGAGTGGGAAGTGCCTTCCTGTCTGGCCATGACAAATGACATGAATTCAAGGTTGCACAGACAAAAGCCGAACCGAACAGCCTGTGTTGCAGCTACCCGATCATTTCGAAGACTTGGTTTCTTTACTCAGATTGGATGGCTCGCAAGGATGGGACTGTGATAAGACATCCTGAGCCCGAAGCTCATGACAGCGATTTCATAGGAGTTCATCGGGGTAGGGGAAAGTGTCAACCTGGATACTCCAAGTGTATGTAAATACCTAGTAGAAATAGAAATAGAAATAGAGATAGAAATAGAAATGCCGGGAAGCGGAACCCGCGCCGGAGCTCCAACTTCCAATCCGAGCATTCAATGCTTTCCGCCGCGCTTTGATTCAGCTCGACCTACAACTCTCCCTCAACCGTTTTATCGAACCACCTCCGTCAACTTGTTTCTCCGTTAGGGCCTCTAATACCCGGCACATCTCTCATACGCTCGTCTCGAGTCAAATACTCGAGCATTTCCTTGGTCGTTCGGACGCTCGATCGGTCTTACTACCTTCCATCATGGCTGCCGGAAAGGCTGCCGCTGACTTCAATGCGATCATTCAAGCTGGTAAGCTTTTTCATCGTTCAGTGCAATCAATTCACCAGCCTAGACACTCGAGCTAAGATCTGCTTCAAGATCGCAAAAGAAAGCAGAACGAAAACCTTGCCAACCAGCTACTCGGTAAGAACCGACAAACAAATGGGGGCGCCGCAAAGGGCGCAAAGAAGACACAGGATGCGAAGCCAGGTAGCCTCGCCAGTCGCATCGGGGTAGCGAAGGTAAATATCAACCCAACGGTATCGCGCCGGCTTCTCTGGTTGAACAAAAATACTAATTATTCACCGATTTATTCCAGCGCCCGACGTCTTCGCCTGCGAATCCTAGAATAAACCCCAAGCCCGTCATTCACCAGGCCCGCCCCAAGGCGCGTCAGACCGATCGACCTGGCGCAAAGCAGCGCCGTCCCGACGAGCAGCGCCTGCTTTCTGCACTCCTTCCCGATAGCGGACAAGCAACCGTACGAGGCAATAAGGTGGGGATGACCATCAAGGGTGCTGGCTCAGGACCTTCCGTGGTAGTCGGCAGCAACTTTGCACCGGGCACCACCGCAGCCGATATTCAAGCAGCTCTTGAGCCCGTGGCCGGCCCAGTCCTCAGCTGCTGGGTGATCACGCAGCACCCCGCAGTGTCGGCCGAAATCACCTTTGCAGAGAGACAGGGCGCAGACAGCGCGATCGCCAACTTTCACAACCAGAGGGTCAGTTATATTCGCGTTTATTCTCAGCCTGACACTAATAAATGGCCAGGCTGATGGCCGAATCATCTCGATGCGCCTGAAACCCGTCAGCCTGGGAGCCGACCACGGTGCCACCAACTACCAGAGCCCACAGAGCCCCTTCAACAACCTCCGGGAGCAAGCGGATCGAGACCGCCGCTCGCACCGTTCCGGTGACACGACGATTCAAGACGGGAACTACGGGTTCACCGAGCAGAACCAAGCAGTCGAACCACACAGACCGCGGGGCAACAACCGCAGATGGAATAACAGGGGCTATCGGAATGGGCCCCGAAACGGCGGAGCCTTGAACCAGGACACGCAAGAGGCAGGTCTCTACAGTGACCAGATGATGATGGACGCGCCACAGCAGAGCCAACAACCGCAGGGCAGGCGCTATCATCGCTAAGCCGTCACTAGCGGTAGCGAAATCGATCTACGCCACCTAACTTCAGGGAAAAATGTATACATCGGGGAAATTGAGTAGAATTTACGGGTAGAACAGGAACATGTAAACTAAATCTCATTTAATCCAAACCAAGCTCATGCCTATATCCGGAAAGCGTTGATAATCGATAAGGCCCAGGACAGAATCACGTGCCGCGGAAGTTTTGCGGAGAAGTTGGAGAAGGCGTCATGTCTATCTCAGCAGCATAGCTCTATTACTTGCTCATCCCTCGAATCAACGCTAATGGAAACCTGCCTGGGGTCCTACGATCAAAACCATTGACCCTCATCCCGCAACCGAACGCACTCCTCGCACCCATCCATAGCGTAGGACGGTGCGCGCAAGATGCATCCAGCAACCGGGCGTGCCCTGACGCATCTCCGCGCGCTCAGAAACCGCGCAACGCAGACGCAGACCCTCGTCCTGTCCGCACGAAGATGTCAATCCTCGTTCGACAACAACCGCCAATGGTCGACCCCTCTCGCCCAGACCCTGGCTAATGCCATGAAGGTAGCGTTCTCTGCTCCAATACAGCTATCTTTCCTTCTTCCCTGCTCGCACCCAGTCCGCACCCTGAAACACTACCGATAGAACTAACGCACCTGTCCCAAAAAAACATAGGTTACGGGCCCCATCCCCATCGCGGCGTTCATGCGCCAAGTCCTCACCTCCCCAGAAGGAGGTTATTACACCACCCGGCCCGCGGGCGAAGGCGAGGTCTTCGGCAAGAAAGGCGACTTCGTGACCTCGCCGGAAATCTCGCAGGTGTTCGGCGAACTGGTCGGGATCTGGACGATTACCGAGTGGATCGCGCAGGGACGGACAAGGAGCGGGGTGCAGCTCATGGAGGTTGGGCCGGGGAAGGGGACGTTGATGGACGATATGCTGAGGGTGAGTTTCCCTACACATCCTTCCACCTTATATGGTGCCGAGTAGGTGCTGCGGGGGGTGTGTATGGAGTGATGGGACTAGTTCGCTAACGATTGGTGGCGGTAATGTTCATCCAACAGACGTTTCGCAATTTCAAAAGCTTTGCGTCGAGCATCGAGGCGATATATCTGGTTGAGGCGAGTTCGACGTTGAGAGAGGTCCAGAAGCAGTTGCTCTGCGGCGATGATGCGGCGATGGAGGAAACGGATATTGGCCACCGGAGTGTGTGCAAGTACTTTGACGTGCCGGTTATCTGGGTGGAGGATATTCGGCTGCTGCCGCATGGTGAGAATGCATTAGTCCCCTGCCTCCTTTCTATTCTGGGTCCGTGTGCCGTACTGATTCGATATCCCATCTGGGGTTTGCGTGCTGCAGAGGAGAGTAAAACGCCCTTCATATTCGCACACGAATTCTTCGACGCGTTACCCATCCATGCCTTTGAGTCCGTGCCCCCGGCACCGGAGAACGAGCCGAAGGACGAGGTCATGACGCCCACGGGACCTGCGAAGCTCCGGAAACCATTGAAGGCCGCGAACGTGCCGCAATGGCGCGAGCTGTTGGTGACGCTCAACCCCAAGGCTGTGGAGGAGAACATCGAGGGAGAACCGGAGTTCAAGTTGACGCTGGCCAAGGCGTCCACGCCGTCGTCCTTGGTCATCCCTGAAATCTCGGAACGGTATCGCGCTCTGAAGTCTCAGCCGGGCTCTACGATCGAAGTCAGTCCTGAGAGTCGAATCTATGCGTCTGACTTTGCAAGGCGGATTGGCGGGGCGTCAGAACCGCCTCGCACGGCCACGAAGAAGGCTCCGGCTGCTGCTGCTGCTACTGATGGGGAGACGCCGGCTGCGGCGAAGCGTGTGCCTTCCGGCGCAGCGCTGATCATGGATTATGGCACTCTTGCTACGGTGCCCATCAACTCGCTCCGTGGAATCCAGCACCATCAGACTGTGCCGGCACTTTCGGCGCCGGGACAGGTGGATGTAAGTGCCGACGTGGATTTCACTGCGTTGGCTGAGGCGGCCATCGAGGCCAGCGAAGGCGTTGAGGTTCATGGACCGGTTGAGCAGGGTGATTTCTTGCATGCCATGGGGATCGCGGAGCGGATGCAGCAGCTGCTCAAGGGCGTGACGGATGAGTCGAAGCGGAAGACGTTAGAGACTGGCTGGAAGAGACTGGTTGAGAAAGGCGGCGGTGAGATGGGCAAGATCTACAAGGTCATGGCCATCGTTCCGGAAAATAATGGTAAGCGCCGTCCAGTTGGGTTCGGGGGAAATATCATGGCATAAGCCAGTGTATAGTAGAAGATAAAAAAAAAAGTGTATATTACTCGCCACCGTACACTGCACTACGGTTGGTTGAACCTCAACGCTTTTCGATCTCGTAGAGTATTGTCATTCCAGACCGAGTGTCTCCGTAGATCGCTCTGGTTTCTATAAAAGCTCATGGCCCTCAGCGCCCCCCCCCCCCCCAAAATAATTTAAAACAACGAAGCCACAAGGGTATATGTATAAAAGAAATCACCACTTCATCCCCAGAAAAAGAGACAAGGAAACAAACCCTTTAGTACTCCCGCCAAATATCTTCCACATATGCTTGGGTCAAGCGGGTGTCCTTGCCGTACTTCTCCTGCCACTGCACGAAGCCGCCTTCCAGGACAAAAACCTTCTGCTTGTGGCTTTCTTCGGCGCCGAGCACACGCTCTCTCTCCCGGGCATAGCGGAGAGCCGCCGAGGGGCCGCGCTGCTGGCTGAGCGCACAGTGGAACACAACCTGCTCCTTGTCTTTCAGCGTGCGGACGAGTTCGGGCATGCGCACGTCCAGCGTGGAGCTAGGGACCCAGGTGGAAGAAAAGATGTGCCCGCCGACGTGGTCTGAGATCATTCGTGTAAGTGCTATGCGGTTTAGGTAAGTAATCGTATGAGGGAGGAATGTACCAGAATCACGGACATCTACGATGGCCAGATTGCTCGGGGTAGTGGCCGAGAGGAGGAGGGCCGAGAGAGCATCGCGGCTCATGCGGGGAAGAGTTGCGATTGTGATGGAGGACATTTTTTTTATATCTGCGCGGTGGTTTTTGAGGTGGGCTCCGTTGAGTTAGAAACAAATAAAACGAGCAAGTCTAGCCTTTTCCTGACTCTGTTGCTCCCAGCGCCAATCTAAACGAGGGGTAAGAGTGATGTAGCCTGTAGAGTCCCTTAGGAACTCAAGTCAATTGTTCGAAGTATGCCGCAGCTCACGTGACACGAAGATTTCCGAGCGGGAAATTCCAACGGATAGGCCGAGTTGCTATTAAGACTCCCTTCTCCGCGATCTTGCCTCCGATAACCACCCCTCCTACCTCAATTGGAGCGTGAGTCCTTGCTCTCACAGCGGAAACCCCTTTGACATCGGTTTTCATTCGTGCCAATCGCACGACCATCAGAGCCCAGCCATGGAGATGCGTACGCTATCGCAGTGTCTTCGCTCGACTGCCCGGCCGACGACGACGACATCCCTTCTGTATACGAAGCAATTCGCCAGACAGTTCCTCCCAGCGATCCGCTCCAACTCCTCCTCTTCCTCCTCCTCTTCCTCTTCGTCCTCATCTCCGCCCGCCTCACCCTCTACGCCATCGTCCACATCCACATCCGCCTTCCCCAAGCGCTCACCATCCGCCTTCTCAAACCTCACAAAACCGCAAGGAGCCTTCGGCGGCGCCCCGTCATCGCCCCGACCCACCGCCGTCAACGCCACCGCCGACGCCGACGCGAGCATCGATGAGCTCTTCAACAAGCTCCGACTGGGCGGCCGCAACGCGCTGTCGGACGAGTCGTCCTCCTCCTCCTCCGCCGCCACGGGCTCGCTCGCCGGCCTCTCGACGCAGGAGAACCTGCGCCTGGCGCCGAAGGTCAACCTGAAGCTGGGGCCTGCCCTCGGCCGGCAGATCTTCGTCGAGCCCGACCGCGGCAACGATCTGTCGGCCGCGTTGCGCATGCTGGCCTCCCGCCTCGCTCAGCACAAATTGAAGAGAATAGTGAAGGAGCAGAAGTTCCACGTCCGCAAGGGACAGGTGCGCAAGAACAAGCGGAGTGCTCGGTGGAGGAAGCTGTTCAAGTTCTCGTTCCAGGACACCCTGCACCGGGTGCAGAAGATGAGAGCCCAGGGTTGGTAAGGTTTTCTATGTTCTCGGTGTTTCGTGGGGATAGGAGGCGGGTAGTGGACGGGGGTTCCCGGGGGTGTATATAACGAGATGCGGTCATGGGGTTTAGGGAGGAAAGAAAGGGTTTTGATTTTTTGAGAGATAGGGAGGTATTGAAGCAACGATCACTATAGAGATTTGTTGCGGGAGGGGGAAAAGAGGGTGTTCCTTGCTCTGTATACTAAATTCGGAGATTGTTTCATATGCTATGGTTTGTTTTTTTTTTTTTTCTTGCTATATTTCATTTGTTTTTGAATCGAATTGTGTCCAACAATAGAGGTATCACAAAAAAAGGTCTATCTATCTAGCTTTCCATCTATCGGTATCTGTAGTCTATGTCCAGTCCATGCCGTGCAATACAGCTAGCTAGCTTGCATCCCCCGTGATTGTGCATAACCCCCATATACAATGCAGACGTTTCCAAATGCAGACAAAAAGATCCGATCAAGTCAGTTCAGTCCCTCTTCCCACTACCGGTATACCCTCCATACCCGTACCCAGCCCCGGCGGTCCCATTGCCAGCCCCAGCCGAAGAATAACCACCATAACCATTCATCTTGCCGCCATTCCCATACGTGATCCCCACAGCCCCATTACCCACCTTTCCTCTGGACGACGAACTCACCCCGAGGATCCCTTCACCCCTCCGCCGCCTCATCCCAAAAGAGCCCCCATTCCTCTCCCAATACAGAGCCACAACCGCCCCCACCCCAGCAGCCATCACAAAGAACACCAGTCTGGAGAAGAAGCCCGCGCCTTCGCCCCCGTCTCCTCCTCCCAGCGTACCAGACGACCCCAGCCCCGAAGAGGGCCATCCAATGCCCCTCCCGCCTTCGACCCAACTGACGTGAAACGAGAACGTCAACGGCTCCCCGCGGATGACTTTCGTACCATGGCCCGCGGTCCAGGGATCCTTGGCCGCCTCCGCCACGGCCGCGGATGCCGCCTGTTCCTCGTCGCTGGTATGTTTCTTCTGCATCTGTCGTTGAACGATGACATCGAACTCCGGGACCGAGTACGCCGTGCCCGCAACGAGGTAGCCCGCGGCCGGCGCCTTGCCCTTACCCTTCTTTGCCTTGTGTTTCATGTCCTTCAAGTCCGCCGCGATATTGTGCGCCAGGAGGTTCATGTCCGTCCAGATGTGCAGGTGGCTCCGCTGGAGCGTGCCCTGGAGCGCGAACGTGATGGGCGTGTACGACGGGCCGTCGGTGTCGATCTCGAGCTCGTGGCTCCCCGCGGCTTGGCCGTCGTCCGCGGTCTCGGGCGTGTTGAGGAGATGCTGGGCCAAGGGAGCGGTGGGCACGCGACAGGTCATGGGCACGTCCGAGTGGACGTAGTATTCGAGAAGGTGGTAGAGCTCATCCGGGAGCGAGGCGATGGTGCAGTTGACGGTCTCGGAGACGCCGTAGTGGAGGGCGAGCGGGAGGGCGGTCTCGTTGCATGTTGGGAAGGGGATGTATTGTAGGTGTCCTTGATTGTCGGTTATCTGGATGAGAGAGTTTGGGCGTCAGTAAGCTGTTTTCGACGCTGTCCAAGGTAATGGCGGCGATGTATTAAGGAAGAGGGGGGAGTGGGTAATGGTGGTGGTGGTAATTTACATGCTCGCCCGAGTCGCTTCAAGAACAATGTGATTAGTATGTTTGCTTTTCTGTTTCGAGCGAGATTGCCAGTGGAATTACTCACATGGTCCGGTTGAGACAGGTCACTGGGATGGCTTGTCCATAATTGTACCCGTTTCTACCGCTGGACGGGGAATCGCTGCCCCCCGCCGCGGAGGTCTGGAGAAAGACGGAGAATAGAAGGCCATACTGCCAGAGAGTGTGGGCGGTGCTGCCCCTGGAGTGGGATGGCATTGTTGCTGAAGAATATTATTCTTGCGCACGCCGACAAGGCGTCTGGGCTCGCTGCTAGCGATGAGGAGCGAGGACGGAGAAAGAACAGCAAGACAAACAGAGTGTTGGCTGTGGTCCACGGTTATGGGGGCCGCCGCCGCAAGGAAACTAAACCTTGGTTAATCCGCCGTCATCCACCACATCTCACTCATACAGTCACTACATCTGCTGTTTTTTTTATACTCTATGGGATGCCTCACCCATCTGTATTACTGCGATTGCTGTTTCAACAATGCCAATCTAGAGCATTGCACTTCTGCACTTCTGCACTTCTGCACTTCTGCACTTCTGTCTATACACATATGCAAGAGAAACGAGATCCCTACGTTGTGCACTGTACCCGCACCTACTATACTCATTTGAATGAAAAGGTATTAAATTATAAAGTCACTCATGGCTTCATGAACATGTACAACTTGTCTTGTACAACTTGTTTTTGTCCTCCAAGCATATGCATCCCACAGCATCCGATTGATTCCCTTATGCCAGGTTGGCCTTCTTCTTGAAAGCAAGGAGCAGGCCGCTGGTCGAGGCATCGTGGCCAGCACCGGCGCCGTCAGTCTCCAGCTCCTGCTGAATCTTCTTGGCCAGAACCTTGCCCAACTCGACACCCCACTGGTCGAACGAGTTGATGTTCCAGATGGCACCTTCGGTGAAGGTGACGTGCTCGTAGTAGGTGATCAAAGCACCCAAAGTAGAGGGGGTGATCTTCTGGGCCAAGATCGAGGTGGTGGGGCGGTTGCCCAAGAAGGTCTTGTGAGGCACCAGGTTCTCGGGGGCACCCTCAGTCTTGACCTCCTCAGGGGTCTTACCGACCATGAGAGCCTCGGACTGCGCAAGGAAGTTGGACGCAAGCATGCGCTGGTGCTTACCATTCTCGACTGGGTTGTGCGACTCGGCAGCCATGATGAAGTCCGAGGGAATGAGCTTAGTGCCCTGGTGCAGCAGCTGGAAGAAGCTGTGCTGTGCGTTGGTGGCCGGCTCACCGAATAGGATAGGGCCAGTGGTGTACTTGACGTACTCGCCCGTGCGGGTGATCGCCTTACCGTTGCTCTCCATAGAAAGCTGCTGCAGGTAGGCAGGGAAGCGGTGTAGGTACTGGTCGAAGGGAGCAACCAGGTGGGTTTGGGCACCGAAGAAATCACTGTACCACACGCTCAACAGACCACCGATAGCGGGGATGTTCTGCTCCAGGGGAGTCTCGCGGAAGTGCTTGTCCATGGCGTGGGCACCAGCCAAGAACTGGTGGAAGTTGTCGAAACCGATGTAAATGGCAACAGACAAACCGATGGCACTCCAGACGGAGTAGCGGCCGCCAACCCACGATTCGAAACCAAACATGTTCTTCTTGTCAATACCGAACTTGGTGACTTCGGCCTCGTTGGTGGAAAGGGCAACAAAGTGCTTGGCAATGTGAGAATCCTCCTTAGCGGTCTCGAGGAACCACTTCTTTGCGGTGTTGGCGTTGGTGGTGGTCTCGGCCGTGGTGAAAGTCTTGGAGGCAATCAGGAACAGGGTGGTCTCGGGGTCGGAGTCCTTGATGGCCTCAGCAATGTGGGTTCCGTCAATGTTAGAGACGAAGTGCAGCTTCAAGTCAGCAGCACCATATGGCTTCAGGGCCTCGGTCACCATGACGGGACCACTGGATTCCGCAGTTAGTATTGTGTCTAACGCGCTAATCGAGAAAACAGATCCTACTTACAGATCTGAACCACCGATACCAATGTTGATGATGGTGTTGATCTTCTTGCCAGTGTAACCCTTCCACTCACCGCTACGGACCTGCTCGGAGAACTCCTTCATGTGCTCAAGGACAGCATTGGTGTCCTCAACAACGCTCTTGCCATCCACCTGCATGGGCTCATTGGAGACATTGCGCAGGGCGGCGTGGTAGACAGCACGGTCCTCAGTGAAGTTGATGTGGTCACCCTTGAACATGGCATCACGGAGCTCCTCAATGTTGGCTTCCTTGGCCAGCTTGACCAGGAGAGCCAGGGTCTCTTCAGTAAGGAAGTTCTTGGAGAAATCGAAGAGGATCTCGGTGTTGTCAACGGTGTTGTTGAAGGTACGGCTGAACTTCTCGAAGCGCTGGGGATCCTTCTGGAAGCATTCCTTCAGGACAATGTTCCGACCCACGGTGTTGTGGTGGTCCTGGAGCTCCTTCCAGGCGGAAAGCTCGGTGGCTTGAGAGAAGCTAGGCATGGTGATGAGAGCTACAGCCAATGTGAACGTCAGTGCGGGGCTCAAAGCAGTGTATGGAGAGTAGAAAGGGCTACAGCTAGCTCACGAAGGAATGAGGGGGTCAAGAGCTGATGCATACCTGAGTAGTGAAGATGGGAGACGGGGATTTAGTGAAGGAAGTGAAGGGAAGGACAGAAGCTGAAGAAGCAAAAGGAGAGAGAGAGAGAAGATAGACAGCGGGAAGCGCGGACAGGATGACAACAGAGAAGGAGCGAAGATGTCGTAACCGGCGTGTTGCCCTCCGTCCAGAGAGGGGCTGCCGTGGGGCACTCCCGGTCAAGCAGGAAACTCCCCTCCTTCCTCCCCCCCCCTCCCCACCACCGTTTCTCACCAGCGCACCTGCCGCCCTGCCGGCTGTGACGCTTCGATTTATCCGATATTTCCATTGCCGTGGACGAATGGTTTGCGATATACCGTCAGCTGGCCGGTTCTATGGATATGTTTGTCATCGCTGTGCTTCTAGAACGATGCTCCCGAAGGTCTCGGATATTAATCTCGAAGGAGTGACCGGCTACCGTCTGGATACGAGCCTTTCACGCCAATTCTCCTGAGGCACTTCCGGAGGAATGTTGTCCGATCAATGGTGGTCAGAAGTTGAGGGTCCTCCGAAGGTTTCATGCGCGAATTGAAGCTTCTGGGAAATCCTCTAAATGCTGGTCACACCCCGGGAAATGCTTCCTTTCTCAGTCACATTGAGAGATGTTGCTATACCCATGTTCAGCCACGGTCAATTGACAGACCTCAATGGGAATTGAGGCTTCAAGACATCGACGACCAGTTCACATATCAATTGCGAAGTCAACATGGTCCACTCGCAACAGATAGGACAGCCTAAGTCACTTTACTAACATATGCGAAGGCTCAGTTGTAGAAAGTAAAGTTTTGCTCGAAGCGTGGTTATTGGAGCTTTATTTGCTTGTAGAAAGTCTGCAAGTAGAGGATAATAGTTAGAGCTCAGTCAAGCAATTCAATGAGCATGCTATCAATAATCAGCACCATTGCCTGCGTAGCGACGATAGTGACGATCAATGCTTCTGCATGAGCGGGGTTGACACCTGAGGCATTAATTATGGGCCTGAACTGTCAGGCTTCCAACAAGGGCCACGCACAGGCCACCCTACTGATCGAGCCTCGATCAAATCCGCCGCAAGTCCTCCATCTTCTCCATCCACCAAATCTCCCTATTTCTCATTCGACCTTTGAACCGCACTCGGCGACAGTTGTATTGCTCTTGGGTTTGTTTCAAGCAATCTGTCTCTGGTCAATACATAATTCAGTCCTGTTATTGGCTACGTATCTCGCGTCTTAAATCTTTTGCAGCTACCGCAACGGAAGCTGCGAACACGCTGCAATGTACAATCCTTACCAACGTATGTCCTTGACCTGCTCTTTCCCTCGTTCTCTTTGACGCACATACTGATCTCGCAAAGCCCCTGGCCTTTATGGCCGACCACCAGATTTCGGGAGCTACCCTGGAGCACCTCCGGGCATGGGTAAGGCCATTATCAGTTCTTTAGATCACGGTCGCATCACATAATGACTTCGTTAGCTCCTCCACCAGGTATGGTCGCACCTGGGACGACTCCTCCGCCGGGAATGCAGCAAGCCAACGCGCAGCAGCCTGGTCGACCAGCCGGCTTCCCAGCCAACTTCCAACCTCCCCCCAACATGCCCAATATCAATTTCTCTGCCCCAGTCATTCGTCTCGGAACCTCAGGCCCGTCCAAATCAGCTACACCGGATACCAGCAAGGAGCGCGGGGGAGACGCTCCCGGCCGACGGGCCGGCTTGGGCTCTTCCAACCTAGAGTCTCAGCGTCAGAACGTTCGCGATGCGATGATGCAACTTCAACCTCCGACGCGAGAGGAGATCGTCCGGACCATCTTTGTGGGCGGCATTACGGAAGGCGTGGCTGGGGACGAAGGCGTGGAGAGAATTTTGCGCTCGGCGGGAAACCTTCGGCGCTGGATTCGCGCCACCGATGCGGATGAGAAGCCATGCAAATTCGGCTTTGCAGAGTACGAGGACCCGGAAAGTCTTAGCACTGCTGTGGAAGTGCTAAAGGATGTGCAAGTCCCTGTGAAGAGACAGTCACCGCGGGAGGGCGATGACAAGGAAGAGCACGAAGTCGAAAAGAGCACTTTACTGGTACGTTGCCTGCTACTAAAGATGTCTAACTTTACTGACTGTGTCTATCTAAAGGTGGTTGTCGATGAGAGCTCGTTGAAATACCTGGAGCAATACGAGTCCGGCAAGGGAGAGCAGGACCCAGCCGAACGTGAGGCGCGGATAGGTGCTGCACGCAGCGCCCTTGCGGCCGTCTTGTCGGATCTGTGTCACCCCATTGCACCCACACAGAAGGAAGATGCATCGGCCATCGATCGTGAAGGCGACACCGCTATGAAGGATTCCGAGGGACAGAACGATGGAACATCCGCGGAAGTCGTCACTATTCCGATCACAGTGGAGGATGAGCTTTCCGATATCCCTCCTGAGATGAGAGAAACGGTCGCTAAGGAAATTGCTGCCTTCCGTGAGCGTAGCAATCGCCGGGATATCGAGCGGTTGAAGCGGGAGGAAGAGATCGAGTCTATGGAGCGGGCACGCAATTCCGGATCACGCATCAATCGACTGGCCTCACCTCCTCTTTCTGCCCCTAGTGGGCCTGCTGCTGGCGCCAATGGAGTTCCCTTGGGCCCTCGCGACCGCGGTGTGCCTTCCGGGCCAAAGGCATTCGGAGTTCAAGTCCCTAAGGACTACCAGAAGGGGGTTTCTTTCGTCAACGGAGGTAACATCAATGGGGCAACAACCGTCTACATCGACCGGGAAGACGAAGACTCGGATGCTAGCGACGAGGAACTCGAGCGCCGTCGTCAAGAAAAGAAGGAGTCCGAGCGTGAGAAGCAGTTCCTCGACCAGGAACGCCGCTGGCTGAACCGTGAGCGCAGCAGAACTGCTGCATTGGAACGCGAGAAGAAGCGAGACAAGGAAGAGGCAGCCAAGGTACAGGAGGTGCGCGATGAGATGGACAAGCGGTATCGGGAATGGAATGATGATGTCGAGGCCAACCGCAAAATGGAGGATTATTATGCCGATCGGGGTGCATGGCTCCGCAGCCGGGCGGCATTCCGAGCCCGTGAGGTCAGCATGGATGAAGCGGATCGGGCGGCGGAGGAAAGAGAACGGGCCCGGTCCGTGCAGCAACGGGAGCAGGCCCGCGGCATGGCAGACGACTTCCTCGCTCGGCAGGCCGAAGAGCTGGAGTCACGCACCCAGGCTCCCCGCGAACCCCAGCGTTTCAAGCTTTCTCTCGGCGCAGCCGCGCAGAAGGCTCAAGCTGCCACCTCCCGCCGCACTATTGCGGAGGTCGAGGGCTTGCTGGAAGACGAAGAGGAGCCACAGGCCACCGCCAGACGACCTCTTATCCCCATCAAGTTCGACAGTGCTGCCGAAGCGGCTGGCCTGTCCGACGAGGAACGCGCACAAGTCGCCCGACAACTGGCTGCGGAGATCCCCACGGACAAGGAGGGGCTCTGGAACTGGGATGTCAAGTGGGAGTTTGTGGACGAGAGTGTCGTCACCGAGCAGCTCAAGCCTTTTGTGGAAAAGAAGATTGTGGAATACCTGGGCGTGCAGGAACAGATGTTGGTGGAAGTGGTCGAGGAACATGTTCGAAAGCATGGAAAACCTCAAGAGCTAGTGGAACAGCTGGAGGAGGTAAGTTATCTATCTGAGGTCCGTTGTTTATTCGTATCTAACTGGGTACCACTAGGCTCTCGACGAAGAGGCAGAGGTGTTGGTCCGGAAGCTATGGCGGATGATTATCTTCTTCTCGGAGAGCGAGAAGAGAGGTCTTTCCGGGTAGAGGAAAGATTTCATTGTTTTCTTTGGGTCCAGGACTATCATGAGTCACAAAATGAACCAAATGAACTGGACTGTCGTGTACTCGTGCTAAAACTACTTCTTGCGCAAGGGCGTGTTGCATTGCATTGCATTCCCGCAGCTGTTCCAACCTACTTTGTAAAATATATCATGCTGCAGCAGATTCCTGCTTCCCTCGTAACACATCAAGCTCATCTTAGCCCTAGCCTTACTCTTCCCCCACGCCAGAATATCCACTGACAGTCACGCGGGCCTCCAGAAGAAAAAATCACTCACTGTCAGGCCTGGATTGAAGTTGATTAACTCAAGAAGAGCTGTGAGTGGCGGAGAAACCCATCCCACGGCCAGCCACAATTCCTCCGCCAATCGGGCGGGGTTTCCCCACACGACGTGGAGGGGAAATGGGGGAAGGGCCAGTCCCCTCCCCCGCTATATAATCATCCAGCGTCCCCTCGACGGGGGTTTCTTTTGCAATTCACAGACCTAGAATAATTCCAATTGACCCCGCCTCAATCAGACAAGATGGTCAAGATCACCAGTTTCACCACGCGGGACGTGAGGTTTCCGGTATGGCAGACCTTCGGACATGTTTACCCCTCTCTGTTTACTACTCTTTTCCCCGCCGCATCCTGCTAATCCACATTACGTTCCCTGACAGACCTCCCTCGACAAGACCGGTTCCGATGCTATGAATGCCGCCGGTGACTACTCCGCCGCCTACTGTATCATCTACACCGATTCCGAATACGCTGGACATGGCATGGTAAGCCAATTCGTCACCTAGCCGAACCAAGACAAGCCTCCGAGACTAATGCTAAAGATAGACCTTCACGATCGGCCGCGGTAACGAGATCGTCGCCTCTGCCATTGAGCTCCTTGCCCCTCTCGTCGTTGGCAAGGACCTCGACGAGCTCACTGCTGACTGGGGCAAGACCTGGCGGTACCTGGTGTCCGACAGCCAGCTGCGCTGGATCGGCCCCGAGAAGGGTGTCATCCACCTGGCCCTGGGTGCGGTGGTCAATGCGCTCTGGGATCTGTGGGCCAAGACCCTCCAGAAGCCCGTCTGGCGCATCGTCGCGGACATGACTCCCGAGGAGTTCGTCCGCTGCATTGACTTCCGCTACATCACCGACGCAATCACCCCCGAGGAGGCCATAGCGCTCCTCAAGGAGGTCGAGGGCGGCAAGCAGGAGCGTATCAAGGAGGCCGAGCAGAGCCAGGCCGTGCCGGCCTACACGACCAGTGCCGGTTGGTTGGGCTACTCCGAGGACAAGCTCAAGGCGCTGCTCAAGGACAGTGTGGCCCAGGGCTACAAGCACTTCAAGTTGAAGGTCGGCGCGAACGTCGAGGAGGACCGCAGGCGGTTGGCGATTGCCCGTGAGGCGATCGGTTACGACAAGGGAAACATCTTGATGGTGGACGCCAACCAGGTATGTGTTGCCTTTGCGTAGTGTCATCCTTTGCATGACAGACAGGAGGCTCGAGTAACTAATCCCACGGGGTCCAATCAGGTCTGGTCCGTCCCCGAGGCTATCGAGTGGATGCAGCAGCTCGCCGAGTTCAAGCCCTGGTTCATCGAAGAGCCCACCTCCCCAGACGACATCCTCGGCCACGCCGCCATCAAGAAGGCCCTCGAGAACACCCCCCACGGCCCCATCGGCGTGGCCACGGGCGAGATGTGCCAGAACCGCGTCGTCTTCAAGCAGCTCCTGCAGGCGGGAGCGCTGACCGTCCTCCAGGCCGACGCCTGCCGTGTCGGCGGTGTCAACGAGGTCCTGGCCATCTTGCTGCTGGCCCGCAAGTTCGGCGTCCCCATTGTCCCCCACTCCGGCGGTGTCGGTCTGCCCGAGTACACCCAGCATCTGAGCACTATCGACTACGTGGTGGTCAGTGGTAAGAAGAGTGTCTTGGAGTATGTGGACCACTTGCACGAGCACTTCGTGCACCCCTCCAGTGTCAAGGATGGATACTACGTCACTCCCTTGGAGCCTGGATACAGTGTCGAGATGAAGCCCGAGAGTATGGATGCGTTCGCTTTCCCCGGTGAGGAGGGCAAGAGTTGGTGGCGGACGGAGGAAGCCAAGACCATTCTTGAGGGTCCCCGGATTGTATAGGTTGTGGTGGGTATGACATGTTACGAATGATTTTTGTATATAGATCGCTGAAGCGAAATGAGAAATGTTTTCTTGTTCTTGGTCATTTATTATCCGATACCAAGCACGGCGTAAGTAGAGTTACCGAGTGAGAATAGAGCAGATATTTCAGCTGCGCATGCTGTGTCTGGATCGGCGAGTGTGCGGTAGAGGTAACCTTTCTTCTTCTTGGGTATATAGGTCTGTTTTACAATCGTGATAGTACTAAAAAACGGCGAGAGGCTGTAGATGTCCCTTGTAAATCTTCACCATGTCCAGGCTCACAGATAGAGTTGCAGATGGACCATACCATCCACACTCCCTAATAGCAATAAGCATGCAGCAACTCATCGCCATTGAATGCCAAAGATCTTGAGCGCCTTTCCGACTCCAGGCTTTTCGCGTGCCTGCTCTAGAACGACTCGGGAGTGGCCTAATAACGTCAGTTGGTCCACCTATTCATTTTTAC